AAGGCTGGCAGTTCAAACCCACCAGCCACTCCTCGGAAGGAAGATGGGGCAATCTACTTCTGTGGTGATACTGCCTCAGAAACCCAAAGAGGGGTCACTATGAGTCAGGTCTGACTCGATGGCACATAACAACAGTGAATAGAGGAGCACAGTATCCTGCTTACTCAGATATACCAAAACAAAACAAAGAAAAAAACATCGTAGGTGAATCACACCAAACATATACTCACCAATTAAATATAAATAAAATGATGTCACAATATCTCAGAGACAATAGACCATCACAGTCCACACAAAGAAGTAAGATAAAGTAGTAGAAACAAGGGACAAGAATACAGACCCAGAAAACATCCCTGAGGAAGAACCAGCATTGGAATTCCCTGATAAGGAATTCAAAAGAATTATATTTCAGTATCTTCAACGGATTGAGAAAGGAAAGGATCTTCAAGGAAAACACTGACAAAATTAAGGAAAACACAGACAAAACCCCAGAACAATTTGAGAAGACAATCCAAGAACAAAATGAAAAATTAGAAATGATACAAAATCTACAGCTAATAATCCAGATGATTAATACTAAAATTTCAGAAATAGATAATACCGAATGGACAAAGGAGAAAAACTGAATCAATGGAAGACAGAATTAGTGATATTGAAGACAAATAACGCAAACTACTTTGGTAAGGAAAAAAAGATCAAAACAAAATGAAGAAAGCTTAATATTCATGTGGAATATCATCAAGAGGAATAACCTGTGTGTAACCAGAATTCTAGAACAGGAAGAGACAAATAAAACTACAAAGAAAATTATAAAAGATTTGTTGGAACAGAATTTCCCTGATGAAATTTCCCTGATGATGAAAAGCAAGAATACATCCATTCAAGAAGTTCAACAAACCCAAAACAGGGCAGACCCAAAAGAAAATCACCAAGAGATTGCATCATCAAACACACTAAAACCAAAGACAAAGAGAGAATCCTGAAAGCAGCATGGGAAAAATGAAAAGTTACCTACAACTAATCAGATTAAGCTCTGATTTCTTGGCAGAAACCATACAGGCAAGAAATCAATGGGATGATATATATGAAACCCAGGAGAAAAAAATTTCCAACCAAGACAGCAAAATTTTACCTCAAATATGATGGTGAAATTAGGACATTTCCAGATAAGCAGAAATTGAGGGAATTTGTTAAAATCAAACTAAGCTTACAAGAGATGCTAATGGGAGTCCTTTGGACAGAAAACCAACAACAGCAAACAATAACCAGCCATTAACACACATGATGACATAACCCAGATATCAGCCCAGTTATAGAAGTATCCAAAATAAAATAAGCTTACAAGACTGTAAACAGGGAACTAGAGACATCAATTGGTTAAGTAAGGACAACTACAAACCAAGCAGGGGAATAAATAGTGTAGTTACAGAACTTCTAAGGAAGTCAAGACAATTGCAAGATAGAACAGACTGTTCTAAACTTGGGAAAGTGTGGTAGTTAAGGTTGTGTGTCAACTTGACTGGGCCTGGCTAAGTGACTAGGCACC